GAAATACTAATTACATCAAATATTTGAAATTCAAAATATGCATAAAATATTATGTATGATGAAATATACTATAATGAAATAATTTCAACACAAGATTTTCTTAGCTTTTGTTGTAATCCAATTGCTCTGATGTAAGCCTAACTTTTACTTTGGCATGTAATAATAATACAGTTATTAGTTGAAAATACCTTTTATTGCTGGGATTATGGAATGTGTGGATTGATCACCATCTGCTTGTGCCTGGAAGGAAACTGTTAAATAAAAATACAACAATTTAGCACAACCAAGTACATGTGAAAGCTGTAACATAGGCCTATAACCCACAATGACAGCTCCCAGTATTAAAATGAACATATTATGTACAAGATGACCTTAAAGAATAATGTAAGCCACTGAGTATGCCAGCAAATATGTTCCCTATCATAGCAGACTATGATAAACTGAGTGTAAAGATCTTTCCAGACAGGTAAACACTCTTGTCTGTAGCGAACCAAGACTGATCTGGGTAGTGGGTACTATGGTAAACATGGAAACAGCACAGCTACGAATATTGACTATGAAGTGCGAAGTGTTAAATAAAATAACATTAAGTTAGTTGACTGTGGTGATATCCCCAATCATATGTCGACACAGAGTGGTAACGTTAATCCTGTTTTTGATAAGCACAGACTTTTATTGTTGGTAGCTAAAATTAGCATAGTCTTTACAGACTATTTAAAAAAAAATTATACATCCAGACTTGTTCTGATGTTCTGCCTGAGCTTACAAACAACAGTTATAAAACTCAGGAAACTCCCAAACCGCCGGGATCAGTCTGTCATCATCATGCTAGCTGCTAGTCAGTACTCGATGACAAATGTTACTGACATGGCAGGTGGGCGCGAGCTTAACGTTACTGCTACACTAAAGTTTTTCCTCAATTTTAACGTGACAAAAGTCTTGAAAATAATAAAGTATTGACCAAGTTTCATCAAAATACAGCCACGTTATGTCCATAATATAGTTAGCTGGCGTTAGCCGACATTACTACACACATCATTACTAGCAGGCACAAAACACTGGCGCTGATTTACAGAAACAAAACGATCTGCGCAAGGGTAAATTAAAATATTTACTCACCAAATGAGTGTGCCAAGCACAAGAATCGCTGTTACGCTGACGATAATCACAACTGCCTTTAAAGCGATGTTTAGGTCCAGCTCAATGATATCCAGCTTCATCTGGTCGGTCAGTTGCGGTGACATACCGTTTGCAAAATTACGAATCCCGCCACGCCAAGACCCGCCTTACGAAGCAGCTTGATTGGTTGGGGATGATTGATTGATCTGCGCATGCCCACAGTGTCATAAACTTACTTTTTCTAAATTAATCCAGCTCAAGTAGACTGAGCTGGTAAGATTTTTCAACCTCAAAGTACAAGTAACTTAATAAAAGTGAGTGTTAATAGCAGGTTGATAAAAACTGATTAAGGTCAATTTAATATTTTTAATTAAATACCATGTTTGCTTTTACAGTGTATAACATATTGAATATAATACAATTGTGTGTAAGAGACTTAATTTTGAATGCTGTAGTTGCCTGTGTGCTGACTCTGCATTGAATCTTCACCTCTGGGCTTGCTGTAGATAGGTGAGTGTCAGCTTTTTTGGGTTCCTTCCGACATTGGAAGGAGTTCAGATCAACACTGCGTCAGCTAGTGGTTATTATTATATCATATATGCAAGTGTATATTTACTGTAGTTGAACCATGTGTATAAAAGCTCTCCTACGTGTGAATAGAAGACTGGTGTCGGTGGACGAGACACTTCAGATTCTAGAGAGTTTTCATTGGTCTGAAGATCTGATGCTGAAGTGTTCTCTGATGTCATAAAATTGAATAAACTCTTATTGGTGGATTAGATTAGGATACATGCTATTGTGAGTGGTTTTATGTTGTGTTTACAATAGAAAATGTATAGAATGTTGTTTATTATTTTTGCAAAAGGAATGAAATGTCTTGTTTCAGTTAAGTAGACAAAAGTTAGACCAAGGAGGAAGATAGACCAAGGCAAGCAAACTAATGGCTAGATATGAAACAATTACAGTAACTACACTATATAAAAAAGCATCTGTTGCTGAGTTTAACTACAGATATTTCTGTTACTCCACCTCCTTAAGGAGTGTCATTACAGAAGTTATACATTTCAACAAAGTTCAATGATGGATTTCCAACAGGGTTCGGGAAACACTTGTCACTACCTCATTTATTTCCAGAACAATGTATCATATTTTAGTAGTCCAGCCATGAGTATCATCTTGTTTGGTAAATGCACTCCATTGAGTGCAAGAGATTGAGCCCAGCACATGTATGACAGCAATATAATAGCAATGCTGAGTCTGTCTAACCAAAATACAGCATTCTGAGTAACCCGACTGGACTGTGTATGTGTTGTTTGGCAGTTTGCATGACTATACATGTGAAACCAGACTGCATTCGCCTTAGTGGAAATCATTTTTTCACTGTCTTAACTGTTTGAATTGTGTCATTCATCATATAGAATATAATACAATTGTGTGTAAGAGACCTAATTTTGAATGCTGTAGTTGCCTGTGTGCTGACTCTGCATTGAATCTTCCCCTCTAGGCTTGCTGTAGATAGGTGAGTGTCAGCTTTTTGGGTTCCTTCCCACATTGGAAGGAGTTCAGATCAACACTGCGTCAGCTAGTGGTTATTATTATATCATATATGCAAGTGTATATTTACTGTAGTTGAACCATGTGTATAAAAGCTCTCCTACGTGTGAACAGGAGACTGGTGTCAGTGGACGAGACCCCTAGAGAGATTCTAGAGAGTTTTAATTGGTCAGAAGATCTGATGCTGAAGTGCACTATGATGTCATAAAATTTAATAAACTCTTATTGGTGGAGAGTTTACTGCTTATATCCTTTAACAATCAGCACATTAGCTTTTAGAAAATCTTATAATGAACATATTGATGATAAAAGTGATCATTTTTAATTTCTCACGGTGCTTTCCACAGGAATCTCACCTCTTCATCCTCTCTCTGTTTGAGCCATTTTCCTGTCCGCCTCTGAGAACACACTGCTAACAAAATAACAATAGATTTCAGCAACTATTTTGGTCTGCGTTGCCGTGGAGACGCTCGGGTGTAAGTTGGGATAGGATTAGGGGGATATGGCAATGTCTGCTGGCAAATATATTTTAGCAGACTAAAAAGATACATCGCTGGATGTTGTTAAGAGGAAATATCTATGGCAATGTTTTCTGACATTTGGCAGATTGTATTAGCTGTTTATAAGGTAGATTATATTTTACATTTTAAAAATATTGTATGTAAGGATACTTAGGGATCAGAATTTTTGCAGCCGATACTGAGTACTGATTCCTCGTCATGGTGATCAGCCGATACAAAGTAGCGATACTGATGCTTTAAGCTTTATAATACTTAAGTGGAGATCTCTACTTACCTAAGAGAATAAATTAAGGATACTGCATATAATCCCTTAAACATGTTTCTTATAACTCTTTAGGTGTGATCATGTAAAAAAAAATGGTAAGAAAAATGACTAACAATGCAATTTGGAAACAACTTCAAACTTCTTTGCTAAAAGTATATAGGTCTATAAACTTCTGTTTATTGTAATAAGTAAATTACAAGAAGTTATATTATTAAATATTCATGTTAAAAATATAATTATTAAATGCTTTTTTTTTTTAAATGATCTAATATTTTCAGCCAGGTTTTAGTGAACTTGTAATACTGTCCAAAAACACAGAACTTTCAGTTCTAAAAAAGGCCTAAACACATGCAAGATCATTCAAATATCTCCAACTAAAATAAACACTTGCAATCAGTCCATGGGATTGGCCAAATCAGAGAGTACCGATTGAGTCATCAAATGTGATTATCGACCATACCGATCTCCGGCTGATCGATCGGAGCATCCCTAATTGTATTTATTCAATTAGTTGATATTAAAAGAGTACTTATGCCCAGTAAAGGACTATATTTATATTTATAGCGGGAACTACTTCAAACTTTACTCTAAAATAAAAAATACAGTCAACTCATTATTCATTTTGTTATATAATAATAATAATAATAATAATAATAATAATAATAATAATAATAATAATAATTTAAAAATAAAAAAAATTTAAAAATAAAAATAATTTAAAAATAATAATTATTAAAAAAATAATAATAAAAATAATGCATTAAATTTGGGCATCATGGTGGCACAGTGGGTAGCACGGTCGCCTCACAGCAAGAAGGTCACTGGTTCAAGCCCCAGCTGGGTCAGTTGGCATTTCTGTGTGGAAGTTTGTATGTTCTCCTTGTGTTCGTGTGGGTTTCTCCTGGGTGCTCTGGTTTCCCCCACAGTCCAAAGACATGCGCTATAGGTGAATTGGGTAAGCTAAATTGGTCATAGCGTATGTGTGTGAAAGAGTGTGTATGGGTGTTTCCCAGTGATGTGTTGTGGCTGGAAGGGCATCAGCTGTGTAAAACATGTGCTGGACAAGTTGGTGGTTCATTCTGCTAGGGCGACCCCAAATTAATAAAGGGACAGCTGTTAGGCAGAAATAGAATTAATAAATGAATTATGCATCAAATCAATAACAATTACAAGTACAACTATTGTTATTATAGTTCTTTTAATTGTTGTTATAATGCTTATAATAATGATAAAACACAGTTTATAATAATATGTTCATGGATACTGTCGCTGAATAAAATAAGTGTTTAGTTAGAATAAAATAAGTGTTTAATCAGATAAATATGGTCTATAACTGGAATTTAACTGTGAAAGTCCAGAATTCTCCTGTTGTATGTTTCCTCCACTAGCATCAATGAGAAACTCTCTTCAGCCAGCGATTCACCATCATTTCTCTTCAAATACTTCTAGACACTCTCGTCTCCGTCTAGCCTTTGATTTATATAAATAGTAGCTTTCAGTGGTACTCTAGAGTTGATTCTCCCCTTTCTGTTGATTTGCAGCTCTTCTGTACGCAACCATCTTTGGAAACGTGACCACCATCTTTCAGCAGATGTACACCAACACCAACCGCTACCATGAGATGCTGAACAACGTGAGAGACTTTCTGAAGCTCTATCAGGTGCCTAAAGGGCTGAGCGAGAGGGTTATGGACTACATCGTGTCCACGTGGGCCATGACTAAAGGCATAGACACAGAGAAGGTGTGTGAATCTTCAACTCTTCCTTTTATTGGTGTACCTTACTCGTATACCATAGCGAACAAAATGTATAGGATACTACAATGTTGTTGAAGTAACAGGTAAGCACATGTTCTAAAACGCTTCAATAGTTTTAGGAAACATTGTACAACTTGTTAGAGTTTTGTCAACACAGGTATATTTTAAAAATCATAAATATATCTAAAATATTATATTGAGGTGGTGTTTAGAAAGAAAATAGAAAGTCAATTTCCTGCTAACATTTGATTGGACATTTTTTTTATCAGCTAAACAAATATTACTGTAATTCACCATAAAGGTCATCAGTTTACCGCTCTTTTCTGCTATGAGCAAACACATTTATATGGAGCATTTTAAAGCTGCGTCAATCAGCTGATCTGTCTGCAAGCTGAGATATGAGTGATCCGCTGATGGATTGACTGATTGGCATAGCTTTGAAACACTCATATCATCTGAGCACATGAACAACAATCAGCTGTGAATGCACTCAACAGCATTTTGCAAAACTGAAGAGCAGGGGGGAGGGATATGTCGCAGGAAATCTGAATAGCAGGGGGGGGGGGGTGTCGCTAGGGCACTTCGAATCACTTTGGAAGGGCACTTTCTATTCAAGACTAAAAAGGGCATGTGCACTGCACAGGTTGAGCCCTATGTGTGCACGTGCCTGGTTCACTGTATAAAATGATAAGGACTAATAAAGTAATTTCATTATGAAGGGCATTGTATTGTGTATGTAAAAATCTGATTCCAGGTCATTACGGGGAGTTCACCAAAAAATCAAGATTCTGTCATCATTTTCTCTCCCTTCACGTCTTTAAAATCTGTTTGAGTTTCTTTATTTTGTTGAACTCATATGAAAATATTCTGATTCTGATGATTCTGGAATCCCAATCATTGACTTCCATTCAATTTGCTTTTAGTATAGAAGTCAATGTTTAGTTTTTCATCTTTCTTCAGAATATCTTCATATGATTTCAACAAAATAAAGAAACTCATAAAGGTTTTTTTGGGATCTCTTTAAATGAACAGTTGTGAATATTAAATCTCACTATGGTGATTATTTCGAGTAAGTTATTGTGGTAAAAAAAATCATCTACACTAATTGAACTAATTGTGTGTTTTCTAAAAAATAATAGCACACCTTAGATGGCTTATGAACCAAGCATCAAGCATGTAACAGCCCTGTTATATAATTAGTTTTAAACCCATATAAACTTAGTTGCTTTGCTTGTCAAACCATCTGTATGAGCACACACTCTTTCCACTCTCCATATGCAACAGACACTTTCTTATAAACACTACAAGTTACTGGATAATAATGTGCATTCTTTTAACGTAGGTAAGCTGGACAAAACACCTGTTGACACCTTTTTTTCTCTGTGTGCGCATATGTGTGTGTATGTGTATATGTATTTTCATTTACACTTGTCATAGCATATATTCACTCTAAAAATGCTGAGTTATTTTAAAACAGTTCTGGATGTAATAGGGACTAACCCAATTCCTGGGTTAATTTTTTAAATGAAATTAATACAACCAAATTTAACTCAATGTTTGGTCGTGTTAGTCTGTATTTTACCCATTTACCCATTACCTATTACCCATTTCTAAGTGTTGCTAAACTCTGGTGAATTGAAGTGCTTCTTTTATCCCTATCTGTAAGTCACTTCAGACAAAACATCCGCTAAATAAATAAAAGTAAATGTAAATGAACTCACATTACATACATTTAGATGAGTGTTGACAACCATACAGTTTGGAGCTGTTTTAGATGATCTGTAAATGAATATCTAAAAGCCAATTCACATGCAACATGGCCATTGTAGCCTAAACAGTTATGTTTAATAAATTGCATGTCGAATCAAATAACATATTTCCATTACATGTCTATATAATGCTTTTCAAGGCGATAATGGCCTTAAAATGACATTTCTCTGCTAAATAACATATGTAATTATTATATAACAATAAATTCTGTTAATTAATCCCCACATACTGTAGGGTCATTATTAAGTTCTGTTTTCGTTATTTTGAAATTGCTTTTAATACTTCACACACACACTAAATAAAGAGATTTGGAAAAAGGCACACGGCAAAAAAAAAAAAAAAAAAAAAGATTTTCTTATTTAGATTTTTTCCAAATATCTAAAAATTCTTAAATCAAGAAGCAATTTCTAGATAAGCAATAAATAATATATTGTTTTCAGAAATAATATGCCAATATTAAGTGAGTTTTTCCTTAAGTGAAGTTTATGTATAAACTAATTTCGAGAGGATCACGTGCTTATGATTGCTAGTGGCTGGATCCGCATTATCCAATTCACTATGCTCCAATCAGATAACTCCAAAACTACTATAAATACCCTGGGTTTCATTCCTCTGCTATCTTCGTTTTGAAGAGTCCACCCTTCCACCCCTACTCCTCCTTCTTCCTAGATGGGTGACATGGTGGCCCAGTGCGTAGCACTGTTGCCTCACAGCAAGAATGTCTCTGGTTCCAGGCTTTACCAAACCAGCAGACATTTCTGTGTGGAGTTTGCACTTTCTCCCCGTGCTCACGTGGGTTTCCCCCGGGTTCCCCAGTTTCCTCCCAACGTCCAAAAACATGCAAATTAAGTTAATTGACTAATCCAAATCGGCACCATAGACATGCTTCTAGTATGTAGTTATCTCCAAGAGCAATCACTTAATGTTCATCGTTTACTACAGCAGGGGAGTTCTCGAGATCTACCTGAGCTCAAACTCCCCTCCAGCCTTGCACCAGGAGGGAACCCTGGGCTCGAGGATCTCATGAGCTCAAGGCTCAAGATTGAACTCTTGAAAACTAGCAAAGTATTCTGCCAATGGGGTAAGCAAAATATGCTTGTTTTTCCTTTTGACATAAGATTTTTTTGCTTACATCACCGGCAGATTATTTTGCTTGTTTTAAGGAAAAACTCGCTTAATTTTGGCATATTATTTCTGAAAACAAGACAATATGTTTTGATTGCCTAGAAAATGCTTCTTGATATAAAATGTTTTTGATATTTGGACTCAAAACAAGACAAAAATATAAGTAAGAAAAGCATTTTTGCAGTGCAGTGCAATACTAAATGTAATGGTAAAGAGAAATAATTTCCCTTCTGACTGATATGCTTTCATTCTGTCAGAAACGTCAAACTTTAAACAGGGGAGGTGGAGAAAAGAGGCCCATCTTTTTGTGTAAGTGTCTCTCTATCAAGACCCCTTTTTATATCTTTCTAGAAGAGGAATGGGAAATTGCATTATATCCCAGGAGACATCAACCCTCAGGGAATATAGTAGATCTATTCAACCTCTGGCTCAAATTTAGACTTATAAAGGATTCTCTTGATTTTCATGCAGTGTGGGGTGAAAAATCCTCTGCATTTGCTGATGCACATACTGTATAATAGGCCTGATCAGACAGATCTTGTATGGGTGATCGAGGCACAAACTAGAGCTGATTTCTACAGGGGTTTAATTAGATCTTTTTGGTGCACCACATAGATTTGCATAGATATGTGCTACATTAGCTTGTGGAAGTCCAGCACATACCATACCATTGCATACGGTACTGGATGTATATAGAGTATATAGATGTATATAGAGTACACATTAGAATGTACAGCAGAGGGTGTTTTTTTTTTAAGATTCAATCAAGTTAAAATGCTTAAAGAACCCCTATTTTGCGTTACAAAAGGTCATATTTTGGTTTTGGGGAGCTTCAACAACATGCTGATATGCATGTAAGGTCAAAAAACCTTTATTGTCTTGTAATGTGCATTTATGTTTACCTAATTATCCCAACAACTCTCATATTCATTAAGCAATTAATTTGTTCAAAAACCCCTCCTTAGCGCGATGCTAATCTGCACTGATTGGTCCAATGACCCAGTCTGTTGTGATTGGTCAATTACGTTATGCGTGAGATAGAGAGAAATGCCCAGCACAGCTTAACAAGTAGTCAGAGTGTGTGTGTGTGAGCCCAATGCAGGAGTGCATTAAAGTAACACAGTTTAACACCAGCATTATGCTCTAAACACACGTACACACTACTGAAGATATACACACTAGCTGAACTATTTTGAAGCTTGAACGCCACACAGCACGTGTGTAGGAACAGCTGATAGTGGATATAGCAACAACAAACGGTCGTAGATCGCGTGCTCACAAATGCATTAAAATCTTTTAAGTTGTACGCGTTGCATTCTCAACGTGGTTTTAGATGCGGTATGAGAATATAAAGACCAAATACAGTACAAGCAGTTTCAAGTAACAAAACACAATTAAATACGTAATTTGAAAACTAGAGAAAACAAGAAGGCAACCATTTTACTTTACTTATTTACTTTACTTATGTCCCATACATGAACAGTCTTTTCTAATCCTTCCTTTAACAAACGGCCGACAAAACCCCGTTGTAAGCATGTAGATTCCAGAAGCACTTGTCAGAAAAATGATGGGAGCACAGCACAAGGCTGGGGCTATAAGTTTGAGGTATTTTTGCAAAAATAAACTTCAACCACTGACTCTTCACAGCCTCATCTTTGGGAGGGGAGAGTAACACTAAATTTCCCTCAGACTTCAGAACACGGCGTCTATGCGATTTAATTCAACTGGGATTTGCTACAGTGTTTGACTTTCCCTTTTTTTTGCTACAGTGTTTGTGGGCGGGCCGGGGGTTTCAATTTTCCCAGGTCTATGTGCAAAAATAGGAGGGGCTTGAGTTCCATATGGACATCACGTGAGCATGGCTAAAGACTTGTTACCACTATGAGTCGACTCTTTTATAGATTAATTAATAGTTTTAAACACGGTGCACTTTCAGATTCAAGCCTTAGCTGGATATTTCACTTCACTTAGAGCTGTGTTACGCACTGCATGGAAGGTCATTTTCAAAAACCCATAATAGGGGCTTTTTAATAAAAAAATATTTTTAAATTAAAAGAATATAAATAAATTTAAATTAAAATAAACTAATTAAATTAACCAATTATTTAAAGAAACTAATTACATTTTAAAGTTTTCCTTTTTTCCTTTTATTATTTTCTTTTATCATTTAATTTTGAAGTATTATTTAATCTTATGATTTTATTGTTTTATTTTATTTTATAATGAATTTTTTACTCTCACAACACTCAATAATTTTATGTGCAGTATTTATTTATAACATTTATTCAGTCATTAATTTATATATTAAATATTAAAGTTTTTTAACAAATAAACTTGGTTTCATCAGATACTTTCAGAGATTTTCGCATTATTCCGTGACAAAAAATATGATTTAAAGTAAACACATTAAATAAATTTATTTATTTCTATTATTAATAATTAAAAAAAGAATAAAATAAAATAAAATAAAATAAAATAAAATGCAATTCAATGCAATACATTTTTACCCTGATTTTTTAGAATAGACACCAACCAAAACATCATTTAATGAAAGGAGTATTGTTGAAACACAATTTCATCCTTAGTTTGAGTATTAAAACAGATACTCAACTTGTATTTAATGTGTTTTCTTTGTATTTAAAGTCAATGTGTACATTTAATCTGATGTAGGAATCAAAAAGGGATGTCACATTAAGCATGTTTGTAAAGATTTCCGATTTATTTATTGTCAAAGTTCACCTATTGAGCTGTCACACAACTCTTGTTCTTTACATCAATACTAAGACCCTCAGCTAAATGAGACTCTTCAGTCGGCTAATGGGCTGCTGCATTTGGATCCAATTTGAATCAATACAGTTAAAAAAAAAACATTGCTCAGTGTTGATTAATCATTTTTTGTTTTTGTACATGCATGTTAATTGTTAATCATTTGTGTCAAAGGTAGTCTACTTAATTGTAGTATGCTAATATAATGACAGTATAAGCATTATTGATTTATTAATTTATTTATTTTTGATTAACCTCAAGTCCTTGGGCTCAGTGTTAATTGAGTTCTCAGTGTAAACAATACTCATGTGAAATATTCAGAAACTGACATTTCCAAATACCAATAGCAACCAAACATGTTTCTCTTTGCCTTCTTTTGTCTGTCTAGCTGAGGCAATGGAGTGCATTAAGGCAAAATAAACTCACTGCTTACGAATGCAATTCTCTGCTGTATAGACTGAACTGGCTTCCACCACATTATTACATCAGTCTCTGCAGTACTTGATTTAAGACTTTAATGAGTAGCCATCATAATAATTGTCATTGTTAACATCATTATTATAATTTAATAATGTATATTTTACTCACATAACACTTAATATTTGTATGTAAATTGTTCTTATTTAATTTTTACTAACATTTACAATTGCTCATTTAGCAGATGCTTTTATCCAGTGACTTACAAGTGAGGTAAAAAAAAAAAAAAAAAACATTTTAAATAATCAGAGATAAGCAGTATATAAATGCTATGACAAATCTCAATTTTTATGTTATTTCACTTTGATTAAATGAATTAACAAATAAACAAACAAGTAAACAGTCATGCTGCATACACTTTGAATGTTATCACTCGATTGCATGTGCACTATCAGTGATTATCAGCTGATAGATATGGGCCAGTAGTATGGCCATGTCCCTTTAAGGGAAGTCATCCAACTTGGCGGCCATCTTTGAAACGCCTTTCGGGAAGTATGCTCAGGCATTCTGTTTGAATGGGGAAACATCAAATTCTCCAAAACTGTTTGCCAGGCTTAGGATTACATTAGGAATCACCAATGAAATTAAACAACAACTGTCATATAAGTTTCATTTTTAAACATCCAAATCAAACAAAATCTGCATATTTTCAGATTCCCCGAGCTTATGCATGTGAACTTGAAAAGAACGAGATCACGACACCAACCTCATTTACAGCCGTTTACACATTATCATCCTCTGAGCAATAATCACACGCCGGTCTTCTGAAGTAATTCACAACTTGGTCTTGGACTGTACCTCACGTTTGTTTCATACAGATAACAAACCAAAATACTTTTGTTTTCAAGTACATTTTATTTAAAAGCACAGATTTCAAGCTTTATGTGGATATATTTCTTATGTCTGTGAAGCAAATATCCGCTGAGATCTTAGTGCGTTTGTTGACCACCAAATTGTCGTAAAAACACACGTCTAGTCTGAGCTTCTCCCCTATAGTCTTTGATAGTAGTGGCCTTCTGCACCTACTGGTAGGCTCAGAAGGCTGTAATCATCTATCCACATGAGTAATCAGCTATACTAATAGAAAAGACTCCTGATCCAGATCTGTTTTAACATTACTGTGATGGTTAGATTTAGGGTTGGGGTGGGGGTAGACATTTATGAAATACAATTAATGGGAAATTAAATAAATAATATAAATAGTTCTCGTTAACCTCTGTCTGCAAACGTATGTGATCTAGAGCTGATTAATAATGTGTATGGATGATAACAGCCTTCTGAGCCTACCAGTAGGCGCAGAAGGCCCATATCTGGCCCATATCTATCAGCTGATAACCACTAATAATGCCCATTCAATGGATTGATCACATTCAAATCGGCTGCATTTTTTTAATACATGAAATATCTAAGTTTCAGAACTCAGTATGAAGTACAGTATCTATTTTCTCAATATGCATAAAATGAACTCAGACCATGTACACGCTCTTTAAGACTCTCTCATTAATCCATGGCTGTTCTTGCTCTACTCATCAGGTTCTGTCCATTTGTCCTAAAGACATGCGGGCAGACATCTGCGTGCACCTGAACCGGCAGGTGTTCAATGAGCACCCTGCTTTCCGGCTGGCCAGTGACGGCTGCCTGCGCTCTTTGGCGGTGGAGTTTCAGACCACACACTGCGCTCCAGGAGATCTCATCTTCCATGCCGGTGAGAGTGTGGACACCCTGTGCTTCGTCGTGTCTGGATCGCTGGAGGTCATTCAGGATGATGAAGTTATTGCCATTCTAGGTGAGCTAAATCATTCTTTAGACTGAAAGAAAAGTTTACAAGAATGAAGACCTCAAGGGTTATCTGTCAAACAGATAACGTCTCACTTACTATATTTCACAGATGTTGGTCCATTGTTATGTTGGTCTAAAATGCCTATTGTAAAACTGTCTTGAATTGGATTCTGAATTTATTTTTGACCTAAATTAAAGTCTTTTTTAGGTGTTTCAAGCCATAACTTTGAGACCGAGGTGTAGCTTAGATGAGGAGTAGAGCTACAATTTTATAAAACACTGGAAACAATGTCCATTAAGCTGAAATTATGACTCATAACTGTTACGACTTTAAAGTTTAGCTCTAGGGGTTAAAAAGGTGAAATTTTGATGTGACTCAGTTTGTAGTGAGTCAGTGGCAAAATAGCAAAACGACAACCAAATAATGCAAAATAAGTGAGTTTATTTGCAAAAGTGAAAAGATGTCAAACAACACCAAAAAAATAAATAAAAATAAAAAATCAGTTAATGTATGTTATTAAGGGAAAAAGTGGATGTCAAGTGGTGCCAAAAAAAAAGCAATCTAACAAAAACCCCAAACTAGCTGAAATTACCGTCTAAACTACCTATCAGAAAATAAACCAACATAACATCTTCAGCGTTAACCTGCCATAAACTACACATATAGTATATCAAAAAATATATGAAGAAAACATTGTGTCGTGCTCACTTCTAAGCTGGTGTGTTTAGAAAGTGGAGTTTTCTGCGTGTTGCGAGGTGTATGTCACATGATGTCTAAACTTCTCAATTCCTAATGATCAGAGATCATAAAATATTAGTAGTAAGTATTTACATTACCATTATAACATACTAAAACCGAAATGAGAACAAAATTCTTTCTTCGCTCACATCCTTTTTAACTTTGGTTTTTTTTTCTTACTGGCAGTGATGGTGATGATTTCACAGGGAGTAATAAAGATTGAGGTCTTCATGGACAAATGGAAAACTGAAGTTTGCCATCCTAGGAGTTTTGACAGAGAGATAGAGAGATAAAGAGCACCTATGACACACACACACAAAAAATTATTAAAAAACGATGATAAGGTATATAGTCAAAATTATCATTTACTAAATCAAAATCATGTCAACGCGGTGGCGCAGTAGGTAGTGCTGTCACCTCACAGCAAGAAGATCACTGGTTTGAGTCTCAACTGGGTCAGTTGGCATTTCTGTGTGGAGTTTGCATGTTCTCCCCGTGTTCGCATGAGTTTCCTCCGGTGCTCCGGTTTTCCCCACAGTCCAAAGACATGCGGTACATGTGAGTGGGTAGGCTTAATTGTCTGTAGTGTATGAGTGTGAATGAGTGTGTATGATTGTTTGCCAGTGTAGGTTGCGGCTGGAAGGGCATCCGCTGCGTAAAACATATGCTGGATAAATTGTCTGTGGCGACCCCGGATTAATAAAGGGACTAAGCTGGAAAGAAAATGAATGAATGTCAAAATCATGACTTTTGGACTCAAAATGTTCATGTTAACGGTAAATCTTATGACAATTATGACTTAGTAAATTGAAATCAAAACTTTGATAGTTGAAATAATGGCATATTTAAGGGCATTGTTGGCATTGCTATTTTGAGGCAACAGAAATGGATCTTTGTCATTTAAAGTGAGCGTTAGTGATAGGCAGGTCCAAGGTTTAGACTTAAAAGTCATAATATTGACTGTTAAAGTCACAAGTTTTACTTTTTAACTCATACAATGATTTAGATTTGTATTCCTCCATTTTGTTTCAGCTTTACTGCAATTATTGAAAGTGATTTTATAATAGTCTTGGTTTTGGTTGACTACACCCCTGTCAATAGGTTGTATAGTAGTAAGTGCCAACTTACCTCTTACAGTCTGACAACATGCCCCACTGTGGTCACTCTATATTCATTCATTCATGCATTCATTTTCTTTCCAGCTTAGTCCCTTTATTAATCCGGGGTCGCCACAGCGGAATGAACCACCAACTTATCCAGCATGTTTTTACACAGCGGATGCCCTTCCAGCCACAAACCATCTCTGGAAAACATCCATACTCATTCACACTCATACACTATGGACAATTTAACCCACCCAATTCACCTGTAGTGCATGCCTTTGGACTGTGGGGGAATCCGGAGCACCTGGAGAAAACCCACGTGAACGCAGGGAGAATATGCAAACTCCACACAGAAATGCCAACTGACCCAGCCGAGGCTCGAACCAGCCACCTTCTTTCTCTGAGGCAACAGCACTACCTACTGCGCCACTGCGTCGCCCCACTCTGTGCTCAATAAACCAGTAAAATTTCCTGGCCAGCAACTCTGAAAATAACTTTTAGCTTTCAGTCATTTCATTTAATTGAAGTACTTCAACATAAGTGCCTGTAAAGAAACTAAAACAAACAACCCTGAGCAGTTTTTACTAGCAATAAAAGCTGTAACAATGCAATATTCAAATTTTTTTGAATGGCTTAATATTCTTGAATAAATACAAAATAGTACGTTTTCAGCACACATCCCAGCATTCTCATTAAACCAAAGAAAGCTCACAATTAGCCAGTTCTTGTATGTTTGTAATACTGCATGTTTTTCCTGAGGGCCTTGATCTGCAACTCCAGTCATGGTTTTCAGGTGTTTCATTAATTAATCAGACTTAGTCTGGAGGTTATAAATTTCAGAATAATAGACTTTATTGGATATTCCAATAATGCAGAGCAGTCTCTCCCAGGACAAAACTGATGTCCCTCTAATTTACCATACCCTTTATCCTTGCTTCCTTTAACCTTTGTGTTTTCACAGCATGGTTCAACAGAGCTCCCTCAGCTCCTACTGCTCTATGACCCCAATTTAAAGCCCCCTCTTCTTTTTGTCTTTTATAATGTACAGATCTAATGTAATCATCACCATTTTATCACATATAGTTGAAATTTGGCAGTTATAATTAGTGTTTATGTTTTTAAACATCTAAACTGGTGTCTTCTCTTCCATATAGTGTGTGTGTTTTTTTATTTACATGACAGTTTCAACATATGTTGTATACGTTTCATGTTTTTCTCTAACTATTTACACTGATGGTTCTGCATTGTATCCCCAAGTCCTCTCTCATGCTTTGTTATGACCCCTTTGCCCCTACACATCACCTGTTTTCAAAGACATATAATGGCAGATTCATGGCCCTACACTCACCTAATTAAACGTGTCTTTACAAAGCTTTAGAAAATACAAACTTTTTCATACCAAAACATATGATAAGTGTGTGAAAATAGCAAACTATAAACTATAAACTATAAACAGATTCAATACCACACACTTTTTTTTCATCCAGGAACTTGCTAACGCTCATTCTCTAAAGTCACATAAAAGGCCAGAGTCTGTTGCATGTGCGATATGTGGCATTTGTTACTCTGTCTACGCGTCTCCTTATCCTGCTGTAATGGAGCTGTGGGGAGCAATTCTCCGTCCATTGATTGTTGAGTCTTTTGTTTCACAGGGATGTGCACTGATAGTTCACACAGCCTCAGTGCAGCCAGGGCTGTAACCATGAGCAGATTTGTTGTCAGAAAAACAAGCATATTTTAAGCACAAATGCAGACCACTCTCGTAAAAGATGAGTAAGTTCAGGCTCATAAGTGCCTTATTGGACTTGGGCAAAGAAACTTCAATCCTGGAAATGTGCATCTCTGTAATTTGACTTTTACAATTTAAATACAATGTATAACTATATTTAAATTCAGAATTATTAGCCCCCCTGAATTATTCTCCCGTTATTTTTTACCCCAATTTCTGTTTATCGTCTTGCATGTATGTGTCGTCAAACTGATAAAAAAAGTTTTCTCAATTAGTTAGTGTTTTTGTATTTGCATGGGTTTTCTTAACTAAGCATATCTGAGCTCTCTTGGTCATCGTACAAATATGCAAGATAATAAACAACTAGCTAAGAATTGTGACCCAGTTTAAAAAACCCCGTATAAACATGATTTTCAGAATGTATATGGAAAAAGAACAGATTTGATTGGTGTTCTTGCAGTTTATTTAGTCGTACCTTTGTGAAGAGTGTATTATGATGACAGGATAACAGAATAAGCTATTTTGATAATTATTGTTTTGTATTTTTTAATATGTATTTTGGTGGGGGTTTAATTTCAATTGATTGGACAGTAGTGAGTATAGACATGAAAGTGATCAGAGGGAGGGAAAGGATCAGCATAGGACCTCAAGTCGCCCCGAACACCAGTTTGTGTTGACAGGCTAAGCATTATTGGTGCTGACATGGATTATTAATTATTGTCATGGATTGTTACTTATAAGCATATGTTACTTCGTATTCTTATTCGTAAATATGTCATTTAAAATAGTTTTGAATTGTGTTTTTTGTTAACTTTTGTAAAAGTTTAAAGTAAAAAAAAAGTTTATAGTTGTTTGACATGTTCAAGATAAAGTTTATAGTTTGTGGTTATTTTATTCTAAGCCTAAAATCTAAGCATTATGTCAAAAAAGTTTGTAGTTATTGTTTTAAATGTTCAAAAAAGCTTACAAGAAAAAGAAGACCTCAGGGGTTAGCCTTCAAAAAGATTATATCTCAGTTATTATATTTCACAGATGTTATGTTGGTCCATAATGCTTATTGCTAAACTGTGCTGAATTGTATTCCGAATTGATTTTTTGATCTGAATTAAAGTCTTTTTTTAAAGTGTTATAAGCCATGAACTAAAGCATTAAGATGAATCATATCATTACAAACTTTAATCTGAAGACAAAAGTATGTGGACTACAAGACAAGGGTACAAGTTTTAATAGTTGAAATAATGGCATATTTAAGGCACGTTGTTGGCATTGCTATTTTAAGGCAACTGTAATGGACCTTTGTAATATAAAGTGAGCGTAAGTGATAGATGGAATCAAGGTTTAGACTTTTCTAGTCATAATTTTGACTGTTAAAGCCATAATTGAATTGTGTTGTTATATTTTGTAAAAGTCTAAAGTAAAAAAAAAAGAGATTTTTAGTTATTGTTTAACACGTTCAAAGTAAAGTGTATAGTTATTATTTTTCATCTTCAAAGTGAATTCAAAAAGTCTAATGCCAAAAAGTTTGTAGTTATTGTTTTAAATGTTCTAAGTATATAGTTTGTAGTTATTGTGTTACATGTTAATATAGTAAAGCTTATAGTTTGTAATTATTGTTTTACATGTTCAAAGTAAAGTTTATAGTTTTTAGTTATTGTTTTAAATTTTCAAATTAAAGTTTATAGTTCGTAGTTATTGTGTTACATGTTCATATAGTAAAGTTTAAAGTTTGTAGTTATTGTTTTACATGTTCAAAGTAAAGTTTATAGTTTGTAGTTAATGCTTTACAATCAAAGCAAAGTCTAAAGTCTAAGTCAAAAAAGTTGACTAAAGTTACAAAGTTTGCAAACTTCAAAAACAACCTCCAATTTTTTCATGAATTCAGGTCACGTCTGTTTATTCACACCCGTTCCGCGTGGCTCTTCTCGACCTTCGTGTTTTTCTGTCTCTTTGGTCTATTCTTGATCTCTACATCTCTCGAGTCCGACTGATGTACCACTGCCACAAGAATGTGACGTGCCCTTCACTGACGCGCATTAACCACAAACGACATGACATTAGACCTTATGAGACGCTGCAGAGAGGAAGTTAATGTCTCTACTCTCTAATGGGGAATCAGATCAGATGCTCTTTTGCTTTAATGATTATGAAATGAAATAAGATGCGAGTGCTGTGAGTTAATTAGCCCCAAGGCGTTTACTTGAACCCACCAGACTAAACCTGCTGGGCTCCTAATGATGCCCCTCATCAAAAACACTGAACGCTGGATTGTTAGACTTTGTGCAGATTCTGTGGTGCAAGACCGATGCTGTACTGTAAGATTAAGTCAAGCCTGTAAACACAATCATAATAAAACAAATTATACAAAAAACATGTTAATGTGTAGTGTAGATTTAAGCAATAAATAAATAAATAAATAAATAATTATATATAATATACAATTTATATATATTTTACCTGAATATTTTTACTGTATTTGTTTTTCATCAAATGAAAAGAGCTATAGCATATTTTATGATCGAACATGATAAAATATTTCTCAGTGCCACTGTTTTTGCTGTAAGATTACAATGCTGAATCGATAAACATAGGGTTTTATGATCAAAAGTGATTTTACAATAATAGTTTTTACATTATTTTGATCAAATAAACAAAGACATATCATATTTCATGATTAAAAGTGACTGAATATTTCTCAGTGCTACTGTTTTTGCTGTTAGATCACAATAATGCTGGCACAATAGACATATTTTATCTCACAGCAAGAAAGTTGCTTGTTCAAGCCTCGGCTGGGTCAGTTGGCATTTCTGTGTTGAGTTTGCATGTTCTCCCCGTGTTCATAGAGGTTTCCTCTGGGCGCTCCAGTTTCCCCCACAAGTCCAAAGACATGTGGTATAGGTAAACTGGGTAAGCTAAATTGGCCATAGTGTGACAGTGTGAATGAGTGTGTATGGGTGTTCTCCATTGATGGGTTGCGGCCAGAAGGGCATCAGCTGTGTAAAACATATGTTGGATAAGTTGGCGGTTCATTCCATTGTGGTGATTAATAAAGGGACTAAGCCAAAAAAAAAAAATGAAAGAATGAATGAATTAAAACATATTATACTATTATATTACAATATTATAATAATTTTTATTACAATATTATACTATTATATTTTTACTATATTTTTGACTAAATGATTTCAGCCATGCATATTTTATGACCAATTGCAGAAATCAAGGCAAAATTAACAGCTTTTTTTTCTTTTTCCATCAGCTTTATTTCTGAACTGTAATGGTTGTGTTGTGTCTCAGGTAAGGGCGATGTGTTTGGTGACGTGTTCTGGAAGGAGTCGTCTCTGGCTCATGCCTGTGCAAACGTGAGGGCCCTGACATACTGCGACCTGCACGTCATCAGGAGAGACGCATTACTCAAAGTGCTGGAGTTTTACACGGCCTTCGCTAACTCCTTTTCCAGAAACCTCATCCTCACCTGCAACCTCCGCAAGCGGGTAAGCGATGTATACATTCACCTGACATTGACAAATAACACCATCTGACTGCAGCACTTTTTCAATTAAAGTCTTGATTTAAGATTCTTTCCCGTATTTAGAATTAAAAAAGCTATTAGAAAATCTGAACAAGAATCCACCATCTATGAGATGAATTTGAAAGATGATAAACTTTGTTTTTTAAGATTATGAAAATGGTAAAAACAAAAGTTAACATCACTGCTGAAGAACTGTATGTCTTCAATATAGTCTTAAGAACTTTGGTCAACTTACCTATTTTATGGTCACAGTTGTATAGTTTATTTTTTATGCTCATTATTTTTACATTTAAATGATGTACGCTGGAATCTAAAGCCTAGTTTATACTTAACGTGTTCTTTAGTTTGCTTAAGTGTGCACAGCAAATGTGCTGTCATTACTGTTTTTGCAGAGGTTTACTTTGGGTGCTCACAACATGATTTCGGCTGGCGGAGCACACAAAATTTTTCGAGACTCGAGCGAACAGTTAGTCCGGTGCCACATTTGGTTTGAGTTGAATATGAAACACTTTGAAGAGATCTATTGGTTAAAAATTGCAACAACAGTGGGAAAAGAAGAAAGTTTTTGTAAAAGTTTAAAAAACTTTTGAAAACCTGAGGGATAAGTTTGTTAAAGCCAATAGAGGCCATGGCAAAAGTGGAGACCCAGGTTCACAATTACCGAATATGTTTTTCCACCATTTATAGGTTTAACACTGATGTATATATTAAAATTTTTAATTAAAAAATTGTAATAGTTACAAAACTATAATTAAAGAACAATTTATTTATTTGTTAGCTGAAAAGAAATATTTAAACCTATTGGTTCAACCCATGGTTAAACCCATTTGATGACTCATTTTTCTAGGCTTTATCTGTGATAAAGGTCAGAAATGTTGTACCATTATTGCCTTTTTAGCATATAATGGCCCGTTTCCATTGAGTGGTACAGTACGGTACAGTTTAGTTTGGTACCGTATGCTTTCATGGCTGTTACCACTGTCAAAAGGTACCTAAAAGTGAACTGTACTGTACTACTTTCTGGGTACCCTTTTAGAAGGGTACCTAGCACAACAAAAGGGTACCAAAAGGCGGAGCAAGATGCGAAGCTTATTGCTATTGCTTTACAGAGATGTGTCACTCACTCATGCCACAAGCCAGGAGAATGAAAACAAAGGAAGCACCATTTTTAAAAACACAGCAGAGACAAATACGCTATAAAAATATAATAACAAGCCATGATCAACACGAGCTCAAACAAACCTTGTTGTTGTCTTGTTGAAACAGCCACAAAGCCAAGAAAAAGAGATTTATCTATTGCCATGATTGTTCAGCAACTTTCTAACAGAGGTTACATGTGCTGGCGAAGATTAAAGACACATACGAGAGGTTTGCACTGATTGTGGGCTATATTTTATGTTGATTTTAAATCCAAATAAGGACTAAGTGTATGTTGTGTGTATGGCTCGCACATGACAGTTGAATGTATCGCACACCAGACGCACACATTCGCATGCTATTTAAAATTAAAGTATTCAGATGGCATTCTGTGGTGTGGCAGAAATATAAACAGTGTCCTGAGTCGTGGCTGGGCGCCGCAGACAGCCGCTGACTTGTGGTGCCGCTGTGTGTACCCTGACACAAACCTGTGTTTAGAATTCTGAAATGCATGGCGCCGCGTGGCCCAAGCGGCACTTCTTGTGTGACCTCCTTAAGGGTGTGTGTGTTTATATGTGTTGCATTTATTTATTTATTTATTTCATATAATTTCAGAATATACAGTAGGCTATTTCTGACTATTACTGATCTGTAGTTATAGTCAAATCTTGTTCATACAAAAACTGTAATAAACATTTATACAGAAGTAATTATGTGTATTAAGCATCTGTGTTGTGAGAAGTGTTACTCATATGATATGTGAACGACCCATATTGTCACGATTGTGGATCTGTCTGTTCTTCTATGATGTGTCTGCGTGTGTGTATGTGTGTGTGTGTACGGTGTGGTGCGTTATGCGTTTACGTATATGCGTGTATGAGTGTGTGTGTTGGGTGTCTCTGTGTCTGTGTTAGAGTCGCGTTGCTGTCAGTTGTGTTTACCTTATCAGCTGGGTGGTCACGTGTACGCTGTCACCAGCCTTGCCGTGCGCAGCACCGCTCAGCTGTAATCAGTGGACCACAGGTGCAGCGCATTACCGCGCCTATATATGTTCAGCGTTTCTGTCTCACAGTGTCAGTTCGTTTTCTTCACGTCTGTTTGTCTGTGTCCTGTCAGGTTCCGGTCGCTGAGTTCTGGTCGTGTGTCGCGGGGAGAGCTCTGTGTTTGGACTCTTGTACCTTTCTGTTGGCGGCTCTCTGATCTTGTTCTTCAGTGCTCCCTGTTCGATTTATATTTCCTGCTGCTCGCTTGACTCACTCATCATCTTCCTGCGTTCTTCCTTCTGTCATTCTGTCTGAGTCAATAAATAATTATTTTACTTGCAATTGGGTCTCCCTGTATTCCGTGACAGAACGAACTGACCACTGAGATGGACCCAGCAAGTGTCACCAAAATCCAGGATTTCCTCGCCCACAATTCAGCCCGACTGGATCATCAGGACAAACAAATGGCAGTGACCGGCCAGGCCATTGAGGCGCTGGTCACTCAAGTTTCTGAGCTCACGACTCAGGTTCAGAGACTGGGTTCTGAGCTTCGTGCTGAAGCTGTCCAGCAAGCTCCTCCCACCATTCCACCAGCAGCTCATGCGCTAGAAGAGACCCCCAGATCCACTGAACCGCGACTTCCACCACCAGCATGTTACGCCGGCGAACCAGAATTGTGCCGGTCATTTATAGCAAAGTGTTCACTTTACATCACGCTACAGCCTTCGTCTTTCCCTAACGAAGAGAGTAAGGTGGCGTTTACGATCAATTTGCTGACAGGTAAAGCGGCACTTTGGGGTACCACTGTTTGGGAGCGTAAACTCCCCTGCTGTAACTCCTTTAAAGCTTTCTCAGAGGAGTTAAAAACTGTGTTTGACCGAGCGGTCTCTGGCAGAGAGGCGGCTCGTAAGCTCGCTGAACTCAGACAGAATAAGTTGAGTGTTGCTGAATATTCCATTGACTTTCGTACTCTGGCGGCCGAATGTAAATGGAATGCCGAAGCTCAGTGGGACATGTTTTTGCACGGACTAGCAGATTATATTAAAGATGAAATCTACGTCATGGATCTGCCTAAGACACTGGATGGGCTTATTGATTTAGCCATCAGAGTGGACACTCGGTTACAACAGAGAGGTTCCCACAAGAAATTGCACACTCCACCTCTTCCCACGCAATCTTTTTTCGCTGCATCTTCTGAACCCCCCTCATCTGATCTCGAGCCGGAACCCATGCAGATGGGCAGATTTCGGCTTTCCACGGAGGAGAGGCGTCGTCGCCGCATGGAAGGACTATGCATGTACTGTGGAGTCGCTGGACATTTTGTGGCTTCGTGTCTAGCCAAGAATAAGAATTCGTCGCCGGGTAAGAGTTTACTGGCTGGTGAAATCACCCTTGACAAGTCCCCTAACACAACCATGCTGCCAGTCAATCTATCTTTTAACTCTATCATGCACCACTGTCATGCGCTCATCGACTCCGGAGCCGAGGGGAATTTTATTGACTCTAAGCTGGCGTACAGTTTGAAAATCCCTGTTGTTCCCCTTTCTCTTCCTATCGCAGTGCACGCTCTTAGCGGTCTTTCTCTCCCCACCATCACACACTCCACTGCTCCTATAAGACTCATTACTTCTGGTAACCATTCCGAAACTATTGAGTTTTTTTTAACAGAGACTATTGCCACTCCTGTGATCTTGGGACATCCCTGGTTGGTTTTGCACAAACCTCACATTAATTGGGGACATAATACTGTGCTTTCTTGGAGTGAGAGCTGTCATAAATCTTGTCTAGTGTCTGCTTGTTCTGCTGTTTCTCGTTCTGTGTTTCAGGAGGAGCAGATGGATCTGTCAAACGTGCCCCGTGAGTACCATGACCTGAAGAGAGTGTTCAGTAAGTCCCGGGCTGCTTCTTTGCCTCCTCATCGTCCCTATGACTGTGCAATAGACTTATTGCCAGGTACGTCTCCGCCTAAAGGCAAATTATACTCGCTTTCTGCTCCAGAGAGGGAGGCCATGGAGAAATATATTTCTGATTCTCTAGCAGCCAAGATCATTCGCCCCTCTTCTTCACCGGCGGGGGCGGGATTTTTTTTTGTAAAAAAGAAGGATGGTTCCCTTCGCCCGTGCATTGATTATCGAGGGCTGAACAACATAACGGTCAAGAATACATACCCTTTGCCGTTGATGTCTTCAGCCTTTGAACGTCTGCAGGGGGCGAACTTTTTTACAAAATTAGATCTCCGCAATGCTTATCATTTGGTTCGCATAAGAGCGGGGGATGAGTGGAAATCAGCGTTTAACACCCCCAGAGGGCATTTTGAGTACTGCGTTCTGCCCTTCGGCCTTTCCAACGCTCCGGCTGTTTTCCAAGCATTCGTCAATGACGTGCTGAGAGATATGATAGATCAGTTCATTTATGTTTACCTGGATGACATACTGATATTTTCCCATTCTCTCCAGGAACATGTTCAGCACGTCAGGCGAGTGCTTCAGAGGCTGTTAGAGAATGGTCTTTATGTCAAGGCGGAGAAATGCGTTTTTCATGCACAGTCTGTTCCCTTTCTAGGGCATATCGTGTCAGTCGAGGGGTTGCGCATGGATCCAGAGAAGATTAAGGCTGTGGTAAATTGGCCAACTCCTGATTCCCGTAAGGCCCTGCAGAGGTTTCTGGGCTTTGCCAATTTCTACCGGCGATTTATTCGCAATTTCAGCCAGCTCGCCGCACCTCTGACCGCCTTGACCTCCTCCAAAACGCCGTTCAGGTGGTCCAGCGCAGCCGAAGCTGCGTTCTCAAAACTGAAAGGCTGTTTTGTTTCAGCTCCAATCCTGATAACCCCTGATCCCTC